GCGGGCTGTAACTGTGACCGCGACTGGACAGGCTGTGGACACTCTAAGGGAGGAGCAGGACCAGTAGAGGGCGGGAGACCAAGAACCTGCTCAAGGAGCGGAACGAAGTACGGCCTCGGCCGCGCAGCGCCTCCAGAACCAGCAGGGACAGCACCAGTACCCCCAGCGGCAGCACCAGCGCTAGCAGCACCTCCAGCTCCAACAGCGCCAACTCCAGCACCCTCAGAAGCACCAGCGCCAGCAGAACCACCAGCGCCAACACCCCCAGCAGCTCCAGCTCCAGCAGCTCCAGCAGCTCCAGCAGCACCAACTCCAGCAGGACCGTCAGCTCCAGTACTGCAGCAGCTCTAGCAGTACCTCCAGCAGGACTAACTCCAGCAGCCCCAGTAGCACCCCCAGTCCCAGCAGCTCCAGTACCGCCAGTACGAGCACCTCCAGGACCAGCAGCAACAGTAGTACCTCCAGCTCCAGCAGCACGGCTCCAGCGCCGGGCAAACCACTCGCGCAGCTCCTGCGGAGAGAGTAGCTCGCGCCTCGACGAAGCACCGCCTGAGGCCACACGAGCAGACCCAGCACCCCCAGGCTCCGCACCCCCAGGCTCCAAACCCCCAGGCTCAGCACCCCCAGGCTCAGCACCCCTAGGCTCAGCACCCCCAGGCTCAGCACCCCCAGGCTCAGCACCCCCAGGCTCAGCACCCCTAGACTCAGCACCCCCAGGCTCCGCACCCCCAGGCTCAGCACCCCCAGACCCGGCACCCGCAGGCTCAGCGCCCCTAGCAGCACCAGAGTCAACAGCTACCTCGACAGGCTCGACTGCGTCTACCTGGGACACACCTGACGAGGCAGGACCCTGAGGGGGGAGAGGGTCTACCGGGGGAGGACCTGGCGCAAGGAAGAGCGGCGGCGGGGGGAGGGGCACAGTGCGGTAGGGGAAGAGGCGGTAGTAAGGCACCGACTCGTCAAAGGTGACGTCCTGGGAGGACAAAACACGGCGCGAGGTGGGGTGGTAAAACTGCCAACCAGGCGCGTCAGGGGGGAAGCCAAGGAAGACGCAGGGAACAGCACGGGGGGACAGCTTGTCCGCAGACAAGTCGCGGACAAACGCCCGAGATCCCCAGACCCGAAACGCAGACGCATCGCCAACCTTCCCCGTCCACCGCAAGGTGGGGGAGGTCTCTGGCAAGGAGACCCGGGGCTGAAGGTTGAGCTGATGCGCTGCGTACTGAACCGCAAACGGCCACAGAAAATGGGGAGCAGCCGCATGGATCATGGACGTACGAGCGACGTCCATGACCATGCCAATGCGGCGCTCAGCAATCCCATTTTGCTGTGGAGAGGCCGGAAGCGTGAAGGTCTGGCGGATGCCCTGTGCACGGCAGAAGGCTCCCAGACGGGCAGAGGAAAACTCCCCGCCTCTGTCAGAGTGCAGACGCAGAACAGGAAAGTCCGAGCCGAAACTCTCTCTGAGCTGGAGACGAGCTGCGCGAATCCAGTCGATCAACACCTTAGTGACGTCACCCTTGCTGCGCAAGGGGAACACCGTGGTGTAACGCGAGTAGTCGTCAACCACCAACAGGAAGTAACGCTCGTGACCCTGGCCACGGACGCGGGCGGGGCCCCACACGTCCATGTGAAGAGTCTGCAGGGGAGCCTCTGTCGGAGGAAACTCGGAGGAGTGAGGGGCGGCGCGCTGCCGCCCCTCGACGCAGGGAACGCAGGTAGGGGCAGGCCCCGGAGGGAGGGGAGGGAGGGACCGGGGGAGACCAGAGACAAGGACACGGGAGGCCATGCCTCGGAGACGAGGCAGGGAGGGGTGACCAAGGCGGTGGTGCCAAAGGAGAGTCTGGTGGGACAGGAGACGACACGAGCAGGGAGCAGACTCAGGACCAGACCTGGACGCTGCAGCAAACACCTGACTCGACGCAGCTACCTGACCAGACGCAGCAACCGGAGGAGACTCAGTAGTCAGTGTGTACAGGCTCGACCCCGGTCGACGGGTAAACGTGGCCAAGTGTCGGCCCGTCCGAGCACACGTACAGTGGGTCACCCGCTGACTCGCAGGAGTGAACTGGTCAACCCCCCGATCCTGTAGATCAGCACCACTCACCAAGTTCGTAGAGAACGAGGGGAGGTAGAGACCTGACAGGGTGCCAGAGGGGGCTGCCGGACACGGTAAGACAGTGGAGAAGCTAGCAAGGACAGGACCCCCAGAGGGGTCCGCCAGGGAGACCGCAACCGGCCGACTAAGCGGCGTAAGCGTGGTGCGGTCTCGAAAGAAGGAGCGGGAAGCACCCGAGTCAAGGGTGAAGGTGTGTAAGGCCTGAGCCGACGTGGTACCTGAGAGAGCAGACTCACCAGCACCTGGGGCAGCAGACGCACTAGCACCTAGAGCAGCAGCCTCACCAGCACCTAGAGCAGCAGCCTCAATGCCCGGGTCAGGCGGAACACACAGGTAACAGTCACCCTCATCACTAGTAGACGCAGCATACATGGCAGCAAGAATAGCATCATAGTCAAGATCAAAGATAGCAACCCCCGCCCTAGACAGCTCTCCCCAGCGAGGGATCTCAGTGGCGTCAGGGAACTGGTGACGCCAAGCGTCCGTCAGGCGGCCGAAGCAGCGCTGGGTGGAGTGCGAGCCCCCGCACTGCTCACCAGCGCGGTCGCCAGTACGGAGGACGTAGGTACAGGGACCAGTACCCCCACCTCGCTGACGCCCAGCGTACCACTCACGAAGCTGCTGGGGGGACGGGGTCTCACGAGTGCGCTGCTGCTGCTGCTGCTGGCGCTGACCACCACCGGAGCCACTCCTCTGTGCAGAGCCGCGACCAGCTCCACCGCCGCCGCCGCCGCCGCCTCCGACGCCTCCGCTCCCACCGCCACCGCCACCGCCTCCTCCGCCTCCACTGCTGCCACCGACACCTCCACCCCCGCCACCACTCCCACCACCACCCCCACCCCCTCCACTGCCTCCACCGCCACCTCCACCGCCCCCGCCAGCCCCTCCAGCGCCCTTGCCCCCCTTGCCCTTGCCTGTGCGGCGTCTCCCGCTAGGGGCAGACGCAGCGCCGACCGACTCGAAACCAACGAGGTCGGCCGCAGCAGCAGAAGCAACAGAGGGCAAGAGGGGGGAGGGGGAACACCCCTCAAAGACGGGGGTACGAGGGTCACCACGAGAGGCTCCTACAGCGACTATGCTCTTCTCTGCTGCCAGGAGGCGCTCCTCGAGGAGGTCAACGGTGAGTGTGGTGGGGCAAACTGAGAGGAAGTGGTCCCTGACTAAGCGAAGGGAGTCAGGGAGCCGGGTGACTATGTAGTAGAGGGTGATGTACATGGGGGGGGGGGTTCTTGGCGCAGAACTCAGCAGGAAGCGCAGCGCGGTAGCAGGTGTCACTAGTGCGAAGGTGCGTAATGAGGTCAGCGACTGTGGGAAAGGCGGTTAGGTCAGGGAACAGGTACGGCAGCATGAGGCGGCTAAGGGCAGCAGTGGCAGGGGAAGAGTAGCGTGCAATGACAGTGTCGTACAAGGTCTTAGCACTCTTGTACTGACTAAAGTGCGCGCGCTCAGTGGACGGCAAGTGACTACGCACAGCAAGACGGGCAGCAGCATCGCGTGTGGCCCACTGTGAGCGAACAGTGCTGTCAGCATCAGCAGCAGGGGCAGGAGAGGCGCCAGAGGTGAGATCGAACAGTGAGAGACCGTCTTTCCTATCGCACTGTAGGAAAAGCTGCAGATCATCGACCCAGACCTCAAAGTCAACAGCCGTACCCTCAGCATCAAAGACGAGGACGCTAGGGGTAGCCATGACAGCAGTAGTAGCAGTAGCAGCAGTAGCAGCAGTAGCAGCAGTAGTAGCAGGAGCAGCAGTGCGGCGACGCTCTTACCAGGGCAGAGGGCCGCAAGTGGTGGGGCAGGGCCGAGGCGCACCGGCAGGGACGGGCCGAGGTGCGCAGGCAGAGCCGAGGCGCGTCGGCAGGGACGAGTCGAGGCGTGCCGGCAGGGACGGGCCGAGGCGCGCCGCTAGGGACGGGCCGAGGCGCGCCGGCATGTACGGGCCGAGGCGCGCCGGCAGGGTCGGGCCGAGGCGCGCCGGTGGCTGCTGCTGGTGATGGCTGCGGCTGCTGCTGGTGACGGCTGCGGCTGCTGCAGTAGGGGCGGCGACGGTGGGCCGCGAAGGGGCCGAGAAGGGCGGCGCGAGGGGCCGTAAGGGGCCGACGAGGGCGGCGCGAGGGGCCGTAAGGGGCCGACGAGGGCGGCGCGAGGGGCCGTAAGGGGCCTACGAGGGCGGCGCGAGGGGCCGTAAGGGGCCGACGAGGGCGGCGCGAGGGGCCGACGGGCAGCGCGAGGGGCCGTAAGGGGCCGTAAGGGCGGCGTGAGGGGCCGTAAGGGGCCGCTAAGGGCGACACGAAGGGGCCGTGAGGGGCCGTGAGAGGGCGCGACGGTAGGGAGAGCACACGGGGCGCGACTCGGGCAGGAGCGAAGCGCGCTCCGGGCAGAATAAAAAATGTATCGTGGTGGGCCCTGAGAAGTGTTCCCACTAGGGAACCTGCTCTATACCATGTGAAGAAATGAGGAAGGAATGAATGAACTAGCAAGCAGGTGGGTACAAGTAGGAAAACCTAAAAGTGTTGTACCCCATATTGTCTACCCCACTACAGCCTACACAGACTATAGCATATGAGTTTGACAGGGGTGTGCGGCGGCCTAGTGAGTCTGAGAGTAGCTCATCCCACTCACCCCAACCAAAGCGGGAGATGAGCGTTGCAATGGCAGCCGTGTACGAGCGGTCGGGTGGCGTCGCTGGAGCGAGGAAAAGGGTCGGCGCTGCAGCGAGGAGGAATGTAGGGCCAGCAGCTTCCGGGTCCTGGGCAATGCGGGCTAGGATCGCACTGAGGATGTCGAGATATCCTCCGCGGACCCTCTCCGGGACGCGCCGGAGGAGGCGTGCATGAATGCGCTCGAGCGAGAAGTACTCCGTCCAGTCCGCCGAGTCGAGCGTCTACCACTGTGCGTCAATGAACTGTATCCCGGTCGCACGGGGCTGTGAGAGGGAAGGGAGGATCGAGGTGGTGTCATGGACGGCCTGTGCCCTGCGAGCTGCGTCCGCAGGATGGCAGAAGGGAGTGTGGTGCTGGAGCGCGCGTCGGTTCGCGAGAGGGCTTCTGCAGGTGGGGCAAGTCATGACCTGGTCGGGTGATGTCGCCGTGTCGGTGGGGTCGATCGGGGCCGTAGAGGAGGTCCCATGGGCGGCCTGAGCTCCAAGGGGGTCACCCGGGATAAGGGTGGGAGAGGACTCACCGGCCCTGTGCAGGAGGGGTGTCGACGGAGGTGGAGGTGCTGCCACACTGGATGGGGCCGAGCCCCCCGGCCGTACTGGCCCCGGAGCAAGGGAGGGGGGATGTGGAGGTGGGCCTGAAGTGCGTGCCGTGGTGCGCCCCTCTCCCTCGGCGGGGTGGGGTTGAAGTGGCGGCTCTGCTACCCGAGGCGGAGGGGTATCGGCCGGGGCGGAGGCCTCATACCTGATGCTGGTGCCCTCCTGCGCCACGGGTAGTATGTCGGCAGCAAGCCGAATGGGGGGAGGCACCACTACATCTGGGTGCAAGTGACATGGCCTCAGAACCAGGTCCGTCTCCATCGGGGACGGAAGTGACAAGCCTATGGGAATAGTTGGGGGGGTAGAGGAAGGGACAGAGCGAGTGACCTCCGCATACGTCCGGGTCCGGACCTGTGGGACTGGTAGGGTGGGGGCAACCGGAGACCTGCTGGGGCTCTGTATCGCCAGCAAGTCTGAAATGGCAGCCCTCACCTTGGGGTCCCGGTGACCTGCCTGCCTGCTGGTGGGGGTAGGATGGCTGGTTGGGAAGAGGGTGGGGTGGGGCGTACTAACTGAGCAGTGCTCAGGTGTGGTCCCTGCCCTAGAAAACCCTCTCGGTCCTCCCCCATGACCATGGGTTTCGGTAGGGGGTCGTCGATATGGATGGGGTGGGAGGTATGGGAAAAGGAGTCGGCGGCGTCTGCCATAGGCGCATCCCTCATCCCATCGGCCTCCATCCCGGCGGCGCACGTAACAGCCGCTACCTGGGGGGGTTGTAGAGGAAGGGAGAGGCGGACTGGGGTGAGTGGGCTGAATCGCTCCCATGGCCATGTGGAGGGGCGGGTACGGGAGCGGGGTGTGGGTTTGGTGGCTGGCCCGCAGGGGTAAGGCTTGGTGCAGGTTCATCGGGATGTGGGGTGAGGAGGGACGCCTGGAAGGGGAGGGAGGAAGGGGGGAGTAGGTGAGCTGGCCCTTTGCCCCCCTTTCCTTTGTTATTCCGCCGACGGCCAGCTCGGTTTCCGTTGTCCATGCCTGGTTGTGAGGAAAGGGGGGACTTAGAGGCCAAGTGGGAGAGTGGGGGGGGGATGGGTGGTTGACCAGGCGGGAGCTCAGTGTATATCTGATCCCTCCACAAGAGATCACCCTCTGTGGGGACAGACCGGGCGATGGCTGCCCAACGGGGCCACTCGCGAGGAACCTTGCCAGGAGAGGAGGTTCCAGGTGGGGGCTGAGGCGCTGGAGCGGTGTGGAGGTCGGAGCGAGGTGCAAGCGGTGGGGGGAGGGAGGCATGTGGTGGCTCCGTGGAGGCAGTGGGTGGGGAGTGAGTGCGAGGGGAGGTTCTGAGGTTGCGCCCCCATGCTGAAGGTTGGGGCTAGAGCCCCTTCCACTAGTGGCTCCTCGTGTGGGCCCCTCCAAGGTGTCGTCGCTCCCATGAGATTCCACAGGCCTTTGCGAGTGGGCTTGGCTGCCTGGGGAGCGTGGTGTGAGGAAGGGAGCCCACTGGGTGAAGGTGTTGAGGATGTGCGACGACTTGGGTGGTTTGGGTGTATGTAACGTGTGGGAGAGAGTTGTGGTCGGAGGGAGCCTTCAACCTTCGAGATGTGTGTAGCTTCGGGCGGGGGAGGACCTGGTGGGGGAGGAGGTAGGAGGATGGCAAGAGATGATTGGGTGGATTTAGGGGTCAGGGAGCATGGCTCCGCAAGGAAGGCCAGTGCCCTGGCCGCTCAACGTGTTGCTCGAGGGGACCCCTGAGGGTGGGGGCACGAGTATGCAGCCCTTTTGGGCGAGGGAAGGAGTGAGGGAAGGGGTGGGAAAGGGCGAGAGGTGTGAAAAGGAGTGCCCTTGGGTGGCTCTGCCCTTGTTGCACCCGCGCGCTCCCCCGGTGGACTGCTAACATCGAGGGGTCAGGCATTGGGGAAAGAGGGTGGGGCTCGCTGTGAGAATGTGTAGGGGTCGGGGTGTCAATGGGAGTTGTGTTAGGCCCCGTCGTTGCTTGGGCAGAGTCGACCTCGTGGTCTGGTATATGGGGGAGTGTAGCCGACCTGCAACAGTGGGCGAGCTGGTCGACGAGATGGTCGACCTGCGCGGGGGCCACTGCACTGGCGCCGACTTCAGGGCGCCGACTTTGGGGTGGTCGACTTGGTGGTCGATCTGACCTGGTGGTCGACGAAGGAGGGGCCGACGTCGACCTCGACAGGAGAGGCTCAGGGCGCCGAGCAGCTGGGCGTCGAGTAGCAGGGCGTCAACTTGGGGATGCCGACTTCGGGTAGCCGACTGGGTGTGGTCGACTGACTGGTGCTGTCGACCTGGAGTTGGTCGACCCGGGGAGAGGTCGACCTGGTGAGGTCTACCGGAGGTGGTCGTCGACCTGGGTGGTCGACGGGCACGAGAACCAGGTGTTGGTCGACCAGGCGTGGTTGCCCGGGCGCGAGGGTCGCCAGGGTTACTCCTTCAAGGCCGACCTCGGAGGTGGTATCCCGAGGTCAACGTGGCTGGTGGGCGCAGTCGCTGGCGTGGAGTCGACCTAGGCGTCTGCGCTGTGCTCGTGACGAGGAGTTGCGTACAAACCAGCTGCGCGCACCTGCGAAGCAGGTGCTTTGATGTCCTGCGGGTGCAATGATGTGCAGCCAACTTGCTGCAGTGTTGGCACACCGTGGACTTACAACGTTGGCAAGCCGCGACTTTGATCTGCTGGAGCGCGGTCGACCAAGTCATGCTGGCACGTGGTCGACCGTGCTGCGCTGGAAGTTGACCAGCGGCTTTGCTAGGACTGATGTAGTCTTGCATGACAATGTTTTTCCAATTATTCAGAACCTTTTCCTAGTAGAACTCTTGCCAACTTTCCCCGTACTAGCAAGCTGTGTGCGCACAAGGAAACGACTAAGGAACGAACGAGCGCAGAGATCACACGAACACCCGTGCCTAGCCCGTAGTCTAACTCCCGTTGTAATAGTTATCTCCGCATGGTGCGGTGAGCGTGGACGGCACACGACTTACCTTTCAATCAGTTCGACGTATTGGTCACTTACCTATTGCGTGTTGTAGGTCGGCAGCAGCGCGGTAGTCATTATGGTAGTCGCCGTAGGTGACGTGGGGGTGGTGGACACCCTGGAGGCACGGCTGGAGAACGCGAGGAGACGGCACGAGGCCAACTAGTATGGCGACCTGCCCTGGGCGGTCGTCGAGGCTGGCATCCGCGCACTGTGGGCGACGGAGCACCCTGCCTCTCGACCTGCTTCTCCTCGACCGGTGAACACTGAAGGCGGCGTCGACGTGGGCGTCCACGCCGGTGGTGGCCAAGTCGGTAGCAGTGCGGGAGGCACGTCAAGGTAGCGTTGTGTGATTCATGCCGATGAAGTCGGCGGCGTTCAGGTGCGAGGGATGCAGTCGTCGGTGGCTGCAGGTTCCTCGCGGGACGACGTCGGAGGACGTCGAAGCGGATTGTCGCCGATGTTGGCGACCCATGTGACGGCAGGGGGGATTGCACCAGGCTACGGTTACTTCAAGTTTACGCCAGACAGGATCTTGGTCACCCCCCCGCTGGTCGGTCGACCCGACATTCTCACCTGGAAGGAAGCCATCGAGCCCCAGCTGGAGATGGCCGGGCTGATCGGCTTCGCCCGCGGCACCGTGGCAACGCCGGAGGAGCGCTACCCCAACTTACGTGCGGAGTTTCGCGCCGTGTAGCTGCTGACCTTCACGGTCATCTCACGGTGCTGCTCGCCGGGTGTGCAGATCGCCTTGAAGTCGTGCAAGGAGTACCTCGACGCCGTCCACCGCGCGTGGCATTTCATCGAGTCGACTTACCAAGTCACCGACGACTTGTTCATCGCCCAGCTTGAGGGGCAGTTGACGTACCTGCGCATGGGCGACCAGGAGACTGCGACCGACTACTGCAACCGAGCCCGACGAATCCTCGCCACCACAAGGATGGCCGGCGCGCAGTACTCGACGGCGTCGTACGTCACGCACGTCATGCAGGGACTCCCGAGCAGCTACAACCTGCTGAAGCGGCTGTCGATGGCGCCGAGCACGAGGGCGGTGCTCAACGAGGACACCTTGACCTCGTACATCCTACAGGACGAAGCGATGCAGGAGGTTGAGCGGTCCCAGGAGCTCCTAGCGCAGGTGAACTACGTCGCCCCGGCTAAGCAAGGTGGTCGACCGGGGCTGCGTGGGCAGTCTGGCAGCAGAGGTAGCAGCGGGTGGAAGCTGACCAAGGACGCCGACAAGAAGAACTCGGCCAAGGAACGCAATCGTGGAGGGAGAAGTCGACGTCGAGAGTGCTGGCAGCGTGGCGACCCCGACCACCTCTCCGTCGAGTGTCCCGACCGCAGTGACTCTGACGACGACGATGCAAAGGGAGGCCGCAGGAGGTCTGACAACCGTCGTCCTCGTCGAGGAGGAAACAAGCTGCGCAAGGAGAAACACTCGACCACGTCGACCACGGCGAAGAACGCCGACTCCTCTGCAGTCGGCAATGCACGAGACGACAAGGCGGCGTTGTGCTCGCTGGTCGGCGTCGTGCAGCCGACTGTCTCGCTGTCACCGGAGGCTGGCGGGGACTTCCAGGCGGTGGCAGCAGCTGTGCAGGTGAACCCGGCGGTGGTCCTGCTGGACAGCGGCTGCTCGCACTACCAGTTGGGGACAAAGGGGGTCTTCATCGACCTGCAGCCGAGCGGCGAAGTCAAGGACGTGCGCGGCTTTAACGGGACGCTGCAGGACGTCCAGGGCCGCGGCACTGTCGCTCTGCAAGGGGAGACCGGGAAGAGGGTGCTCATCCCCGACGTGCTCTACCTCTCGGGCGTGCGTGCAAATCAGCTCTCGGCCGGCCAGCTGAAGGAGAACGGTGGCGGGATGTTGCTCGTCTCAGCGGCGGGAGACGTCCTCGGTCGGGCGCCCTACACTGCGCGAGTCCTCTGCACCGACCTGCGTCCCTGCTCGACGAGGTCGACGTCGCCTACGACGGGGTTCTAGCCCTGCGGGCGATCGTCTCGGCGACAAAGTCGAAGCCGGTCAGGCTGCATGCGAGGCTTGCACACGTCGGCATGGACACCATACGGAGTTCGGCGAAGCACGGGGTTGCCATTGGGCTGGACCTCAAGTCGGCGTCGGGCGCCGACTCACCTTGTGTCTCGTGTGTCGGCGGGAAGCTGGCGCTGCACACCTTCCCCGACAAAGGCTCCGACGCCGACGGCGTCCTGGCTGTAGTGCACATCGACCTGTGCGGGCCGTTCCGCGTGGCTGCCAAGGACGGCAGCCTGTACTTCTTGCTGCTGAAGGACCGCAAGACCCGCTACGTGTGGGTGAGGCCGGTCGCCAATAAGTCGGATGCATTGGAGGAGTTCGTGCAGTGGCTGGCATTTGCTGAACGGAAGACAAAGAAGTCGGTGTTAATGCTGCGCTCTGACCGGAGAGGGGAGTTCCTCGAGAAGCAGTTCAACGGATTCGTGAACAGCAAGGGGATCCACGACCTTACCTGCCCGTATACCCCGCAGCAGAACGGCATGGCGGAGCGGGAGATGAGGACGGTGGTGGAGTCTGTGAGGACAATGCTGCTGCACATGGGAGTGCAACACCACTGGTGGCACCTCGCCCTGCGGCAGGCCGTCAGGGTTCGCAACTGCCTTGAGAGGACGACGCTGCCGCCGGGGACGACGCCGTACCAGCTGCTCACCGGGAAGAAGCCCGACTTGTCGCTGGCGCGGGTGTGGGGCTGCATGGCGCAGTTCTTGGTCCCGAGCAGCAGCGTGGTGGCAAGCTAAAGCCGAAGGCCCGGTGGGGCCTTCACCTCGGCGTGTCGGAGGAGAGAAAAGGCTGGGAGCTCCTCGATATCGTCGACAACCGGGTGGTCACCACGTCGAACGTGGTGTTCTACGAGAACATGTCGCTGGAGGTGTGGAAGTTGGCCCATGGGCTGGCGCCGGGTCGGACACCAACCGCCCCGCCGACGGACACTTCGACGGCGACGCTTTCTCTACTTGCCGGGGTCGGTGAGCCTGCTGCTGAGGACGTCGAGGGTGTCCCCTCTCCCTCCCCTCCACTGCCCCTCCTGCCCCTTCCCTTGTGGCCGACCAGCGTGGGCTGCCTCCGGTGTCGGCCTCCGGCGATCAGGGGAGCGATGGGGCGTCGCCTGTGGCACCGGCCAAGAGCATCGCCAGTGGCCGACGTGACGTCCAGCAAGTCGACGTGACAGTGAGTTGACGTCCAGCAAGTCAACGCCGGCAGGAGAGGTGCAGGCTGAGGAAGTGCAGCCGATGGTGATGAAGTCGGTAAAGGGTGTTGCGGTAAGGCAGCAGTTGAGAGGGGAGCACGCAACAGCGAGGTCGACCACGAAGCAGTCGGCAACCGGGCAGTC